CACTTCACAATTGTGTCCCACTTGTTGGTGATTCTTCACATAAAATAAAAAAAATATATCTTTATGTTTGAAGCCTGAAATGTGGCAAAAGGTTGAAAAGTTCAAGGGGGCCGAATACTTTCGCAAGGCACTGTATATTAAAATAATAAATAAATAAAATACAATACTTTTCTGTAGATCAGTGGAATTACATATGTAGATTTCAACAAGGCTCTACAAGTTCACAGACTTGGAGAGACTTCTGTTGGAAAAATCTGACCTGTTTTTTTATCAGCCCCAAAATTCAAGCCAAACAAAAAGGCAGCAGTTCACAGTGTTGGAGGTTTTGTGGAGAGCAAGTTGTGGCTCACACACACATATTATGCTCATGCCCAAAAATACAACGATAATGGACATCTATACATACAACCCTTAACAATATAGTAAATGTGAACATACCATTTGAATTTTCTGTTATGTATTTGGGTAATTTTGATAATATTGAAGTAAAGGGTAGATGCATATTGGGGATTCTTCTAGCAGCTAGTAAAAAAGCAATCACAAGAAAATGACTTATAAAAGAATCCCCAACACATGAACAATGGTTTCATATTGTGACTGAAATCTTCATAATGGAAAAAATAACTTTTTCTCTCAGGTGACAGGCAGAGAGGTTTAAGAAATACTGGGAAACATGGATTCATTCCCCACTGAGAACTGATTTCAGTTTATGAGAGAATATACAGTTCTCTGTAAAATCAATACTCAGAATAAGATCAGTGACTTGTTCCAGATTTCACTGCAATGGTCCAAATAATATCAACCAGGCATCAAGAAGCAAAAAGCAGCAGCGGTAAATATGTTACTATGCTGTTTTAATTATTATTCATTATTAATCGCAATAGTAATCAATCACCTGTCTAAGAGACAACATAAATAAAAAATAACTAGGTGTTCCTGAGACTGTTACCGGCTTGAGTTTGAGAGCAAGGTGGTAGGCTACTGTATGTAGAGTTCGGGTTAAAAGCAGAGTGAGTCTGCCTAGATCTGAACTTGAACCCTGAAGTTGCATCTAGGCGAAGCCCAAGCTTCCATTGTTCTCTGGCTAGGCGTGGCACTGTGTCAGCCTATGTGTATGGCTGCTTGGCGCTCTTGAAGAGAGAGATTACTCCTGTCCTGCTCTGACAGGTAGGCTGGGTAGATATGCACAGGTGGATGTGGTGATAGTAAATAATTCCTAAATGCTCTCATTTACCTACACTATTAAAATGAAACTTATTATGAAAAAATACAAATAATGAAAATATGTTAATATTTAAATATATTCTCAACAACATTGTCACTCCACAATGTAATCTCTTCTTTTAGAAACAGTAAATTGCTAAAGAATAGGAGCTTTTTATTTTAAGACTTGACAAAATAATCTGTTCATTCACATTGCAGGCACTGTTTTATTTGTTCACAGTGTATTCAGTTACATAGCACATAACCACACAGATATACTGTAAACATTTTTGAGGAGAAAGACAGTTAAACACAGAAATATTCACAGACAGTACTATGACATGAATATTCAGGACTGCCAAATAGGTTACCTTCTTAATATAAAGGTAACTACAGTATGTCAATCATCAAAGTCCTTCCTTTCAGGTCAAAGATTATATATTCATTGAATATCAGTTATTGCAAATTCATTTTAAAAAGTAAATCATTTTCATCTAATATACTGTAATTAACATTAAAAGACATGCATTAGAACAAATGTTTTTTAATTATTCAGGTAATAGACATCATTGTGTCAAACAACAAATCACCAAAAAGCATGGTTTCCAGCACAAATGGTCATTTACATTCATTTACAAATGAATCAAATGAATGCACACAATTCAGACTTTACATACTATTTCTCATAAACATTAGTATTCAAAATGTTTGTAAATTGCACAGAAAATGTGACATACTGGTATTTTATTCTGAATTTAACTAATATGGTATAGTTTACCCACAAAAAAACACAGCTGGTACATACAGGAATTAAAGATGTCTTTAGTATTTGGTGTTTAGACATGATAAAATAAGCAACTCTTCTGTTTGCCAAATTTCACATTCTGACAGGTTTGCTAAATATGTGAAAGTAGAATTAAATAAATCATCAAGCCTGTGGATTGAGTTTAATTGTAATTTTAAAATTCACAGTATGCTTTAGTAAGAATTTATTAAAAGTGAATGTGGATACAGAATTAATACATTTATATAACTTAATCATAGCTCTGTCTGAAACTGGCTTTATGCATAAATGTGCACCTAAAATTGTATTTACATCAAAGCATTTTAAATATTTCATTAGTAGATTCTCTGAAACCACTAACAAAGTGTTTTTCTTTTCAAATTAGTGGTACATAATTTCAAACTATATATACTGAAGCAGCCTTCGGCTAGTCTTATAAATGGTACATTTCAAGGCAATCATAGGTTTTATGTTCACATTACTTTGGATAAAAGGCATAAAAGGCAGCTGGTATGGCTACATTGATGACCACAGTTGCAAAACTGTACTTAATCAGATGTTATCTATTGCACAGCCATGGCCAATATAATGGAAGAAGGTGCATCGAACTTTGATCAAACACTCCCTTCTCTCAATCCTTTTTAGCAGCAGTAATACAATGTATTTAAAACAGAGATTTATATAGCTGTATGGCAAGCTAGGTTTTTACATAAAAGAGAAAAATAGGCAGAATTATGTTTTTTGGGGGAAAAAATTAAATACGTTGGAATTTCAAACAAATGAATTGAGATTAATTTACAAACATTCTAATTAGGCTACTCCTAATTAGGAGTAATTCTAAATGAAATTCAATTCTTTAATTAAACATTTTAATTGTTGTACTGTTAAAGTTTTTTGTACATAAATGATTGAAGAAGTTAGTCCTCCCCTATACACTGTGTATAAATACCTATAAATAGAAATATAAATTCACTACTTACACTTTTAACAAAGTCTGGACTTCCTATCAGAGATTCAATAGAATAATCAAAGCCTGAGGTTTCCAAGTAAAACCAATTACTTTAAATATGCTTAATAATTTAATCTGATCTAAAATATGGACAAGCGTTTTAATGTTCCAGTGATAATGAAAACATATTTTGGCTTTTTGGCACATTTTCTTATACTGATTCAAGAATAAAGAACCAAATAAATATTTCAAATCAATAACAGTATATGAAAAGAGTGATAAAGCAAAATTGAATGAAAGAGTGGTACAGTTGTTTAAGGCAGTAAATGTATTACATTTCTCAAATAAACCTTGTGTTTATGCAAATGCCAGATAATGGTATGATATTTTTCAGAGTTGTATACCTTCTCTTTGGTTTAAGGTGATTTACAGTATCTTAACTTGATGAAAAATGTGATGTAAAAGTATTTAAAAACAGTCCTTTTGTTTGGTTATGGATTACTGTAACTGTCAATAACAAAAGACTAAGACTACGTTCTGAAATCAAAAAGAGACACATTAAAAAAAGTCCAAAGGGACATCAGTTAATTGCCAATATGTGGTGGCATGCAAAATATAAACATTTTTTTAAAGTACACCCCCACACCATTACCCAAATGTAATCTCTATCAGAATGCCAGAGTTTGTTTAGTTGGTTAGTTGCAATCAGTGTAGGTAAACATTTTTTTTTCATAAAATAAACACTTGTGCTTGAAAAGTGAAAAGCAGAGTGAGTAAAAATATTGTGTGTATTCACTACATATAATTAAGATGTGATTTAAAATTATAGTTAAGATGTGAAACAAATATAAAAAAAGAAAAACTAAATTGTATTTTTTAACTTTAATATCTACAAATGTACTTAATAATTTTTAGAGATTTAGAGTATTCTATGTAGGGGAGGGGTATAACACATCAACCAATCATAAAACTAGTAAATAATAATTATTAAGGCATCATATAATATATAATAATTAATTAGATATTATTAAATAAATTAACGTGACATGCACACACAGTACCACTCCCTAGAAAATGGCAATATCTGCTATGCAAAAAGACTGAGTTGTGGGAAAATTCTACACTGTCAAGTATTGAAGGTGTTGAAATCATGTACTGTACATGTTTTATTATGGTTTTAACATGCCCTGTACTTTACTATAACAAGGCTAAGAATAAACCATTGATTAGTTTAGTTGCATTCTCTTAAGAAACATGTTTTCTGCTTTGTAGTACAGCAGAGAACATTACTACTACTATTACTATTAGAAAAGGTAATAACATGATGAAAGTGTTAAAATACATGATAAATAAATTCATGAGTTTGTATAATAAATTAAGGACAAGTTCACACAATATCATTCCTTTAGGATCATAATGACTTAACTGTTAAAATAACACTTTGTAAAGGTACATAAAAAACTGTAGGACTGCAACTCTCCAGAACCAGACCAGTTTTAGTTATATAAATTCATTCAATCTGAAGTACCTCATTTTAATTATAGCTTTACTGTTATTGTTCTTTTAATTATGTTAACCCTGGTATCAATGTGAAACTTCAAATGTCCTGCAAGTAATGTTATTCACCTAATATGTAATATTCACCTAATAATGTTGTAGCCATCAATCGTAGTCTACAGCTGATGATAAGACCAACTGTGTTATTGCTGTAGCTGTATAGGTCCTCAGAAAACAATAGATTTCTATTTTAACAGATTCTAACTTTTTATTAGGCGTATATATTTATTGGATTTTTGTGCACTAACCATTGCACATTGATTTTCCACTTTCCTAAATGTTTTAATTTTTACTCATTCTCTAAATGATTTAAATGTGTTTTAAATGAATAAAACAATTTAAGATAAATAATTATATTTTAAAAATGTAAGAATATTTATAATCCTCTAGAATGTGCTTCTCCCATCCCTTCCTGAACTTCTAACAAATTACACAGGAGTGGCCCGAGGGCATAGGATTCATCACGGTGACCTACTGAGTCTGGGGCTCGGAGTGCCTTGTCCCGTCAAGGTTTTAACTATCCATATTCCTAGTTCCCTGTTCCCTGTGTTCGTCATGGATGGATCTCCCGGCACCTTGACCTTGGACTGCGCCCTGATTTCCCCTATTGGAGTTCCTTTTGGACTCGTTCACCAAGCTCCCACCATGCACCAGATCACTGCCGTCACTGCCCCCTGTGTTTCTACCTGACCTGATCCTGCTGAGTCTTCCCTGATGTCCTACTCCAGTCACTTCCGGATTATACCGTCTCGCATAGGGTCTTTAACTATGCATTTCATGGGAGTCAGAACCGGCCACTATAACACATACCTTGCAGAGACTGAACAAAGGTTTCATAATAGTAAATGTGAGCTTCTATGTGATTTAAACACCTTAAAATTTAATTTGTGCTAAATCATCAGGTCTTGACCTTAAGATAAACTGTGAGATATAAAGACTTATTTTCAAAGTCTTTGCCTTCCTTTATACCTTATATGTTTATTCCCAATGTATTTTAATGGATTATGCATAAAAGGATTATACTGTCCTTGTCAAAAGTTCCCTAACATAGTTTTCTCTCTCTAAACAAAATGCAGGAATCAATCTAGTTTCAACATTACTAACCATATGTATCTTAATAGCTTTTTAATGAACCAGCTGACAATTTAATTAGACTCTTAGAACATATCAGTGAATTCATGACAATAAAATCCCTCCTCCTATCTCATAAGTGAATGACATGCATCGTCACATGCATAGCTGCTTTTCCATTATTTTTACAATATGCCTCAATCAGCTACCTGGGTTTTGATATATAGAGTTTAATATACATCTTTTGCTTGTAATTCTTAATTTTTTTACTTTATGTATATAGTATTTTACTATCTATATCTTGCTTACAAAAGGATTTGGATTATGTGTTTCATACTTACAAAGTATCAAATGAACGTTCTTTCTGTTCAATGTGAACGCAGTGCCTAGAGATCCATACTTTATATTGCTCCAGTTTTAAAATATAATCAAAATACATAGCAGAGTTTATGGTTGTCATGCAAATAACACATAAGTAATACTAAGTAATAGGTAGCTCTTGTACTCTTCTTTATCATGACATATTATGTCAATCGAGATATGTATAAAATGAAAATTCAGAATAGATTCTATAATGCCTAATGATATATTTTAATTCTACTAAGAGCTGATCAACCAGATACACAGAGAAGCACAATGCTGTTAGAAAATTGAATGAGTTATTTTTAATACACTGTAAAATGATCTTGCCTTCATGATATTCCTAGTACTGATCTTGCATGTTTCTCACTATACATTGCATTATTCTTATTATTATATGAAAGGTGCCAAGAAGTCAAAATCATAAAATATTAAATAACTCAGACTTTAGATATGCTAAGGGTTGTAACTAGGCTCACTGTGAATTAGCTTCATTCATCATGTAGCTTCATTTAAGGCAAATTCTTTTCACATTTACACCTAAAAGTTCTATATATGTCAGCAGGTTACTGATCTATTTTTGCATTACTAGCAAAGCACATCAATATCTATTAAAATGGCTTTGTGCATTCTTGCTTTAGAATTGCACAGCGGACCTTTGCTCTTTTCCAAAGTTTCTGTAGTAAAAATGTTCCTTTGGCAGCAATGTTGCCTAAGCTGCATTTAATGGGAATACGAGGAGTAATTTAGTACGGTTAAAAAACTCCAGAGACAAATTCCCAACAAATTCCAGAGATTTGGCTGAATCTCCATACTTAATTTTGGGTGGCCATATTTATTTTAGGAAATGTAAAAAAAAAAACAGATAGAATAATTAATATGGGAAGAAATGGTTTTACAAATGAATGAATTGTAGTTTTTGTTCTCTGTAATACTAGATATAATAATCTGTGTGATATGCTAGATAAAATGCCTACAATTTTATGAATATGTGAAGGTGTATCTTTATGGTTTTGATTTTCTCATGATATTGTAATCTTTTGTATCATACCTCCTAAATTTATAAGTACAAATACCCAACCCAATAAACAAGATTAAACAAACCAAATGCTGTAGGAAAGAATATTCGGGAATAGGAGTCAATTTTTGAAACCCGAACATGCATTCGTCCCTCTCTCCAAGCTCCTGTACGACAGTCTTCAAAACAACAGAAGAAACTTGCACAGTCTTTCCCATCGAGACACTCGTATGCATAATCATCCTCTTCTTGGTAGGAGGCAATGTTGTTCATTTGAATTAGGGAAGTTCCTGGTCGAATGTTTACTACAGTAGATTTCTATTGGAAAAAGATTTTTTTTTAATTTCTTCATAAAGGTCCTGAAAACATGCTATTGGATTGCTAGTAGTACAAAGTGAACGCTTTTATTGATCTTTAATTAGTTTTGGCGCATTGTGATTGAACATTACACACATCTGCCTTCAAATAAGCCACATTTACATTAATGATATGATCATTTTTATAATCCTAGTTAAAGCAATTTTGTAGTGATATGATTGAGTCTTAGAACTACATTTAGACAAAAAATGTATATTTCTAGGTGATTATTCTGAAGCTTTCTGCTCACCATTTTCCATGTGGTGGTTTCTCATCCCCAAATAAACTTCATTTATAACTTACACCTTCAAAATGAAATATGTTCTATCAACAATAATGTTCATTAAGCTGTGTTTCATTTACGTTGCTTTTACATGCCCACTTAACTCCTACCTTACGAAGATTTTCTAGTAGCTTGTTTTCTTGAGTTATAACTTCGGATTTCTATCTATATCTGACTCCAGATGCACTCATAATTCAGACAATAACAGGTGCACTTCATAATACAGCTGTGATCACTGATTAACACACACAGGTCAAGAACTTTAAAGTATGTTTTATACTCAGTTTATAGATTTGTAATGCCATTCAATGCCCTCTTTAATTGAACTAATTAGTTCAATACAGGTAAGTATTAAGCAACAGACATATAACAATGTTCAAGTGGGTAGCTCTATCACCATGTATAGGCTTCAAAGGAACAAGTAAAGGTTTATTCCTTGCTTAAAAGAGAAGAAAAGAAACAGTGTTTCGGTTATGTTTCTTTTCTTCTCTTTTCAACATGGAATAAACCAGTCATATTATATATCTTAGGTGGGTAGCTGCAAAGGAACAAGTAACAGGTTTATTTGTTATGATTTCTTTTTCTCTTTTCAGCATGTAATAAACTTATATTTCTGTTTTCCTATATACATGTTTAACAATATGTTTGCTGACAGTTGTGTATTTTTCTGTTAAAATGTCTGCAGCAAAATGACAATAAAACATATTGTCTGTAATGACTTTATTTTGTGAATGTAAACATTTTTTTCATGCAAGTGAATAACTTAGTTGTATCCGTATTAGATTTGACCACATTTGGACAGGTTCTGTGTGCAATTGTCTGACTGGATTAGTGAGCTGGTGTATATAAGCCATAGGGAAATGTGCAGTCTGTTTTTTTGCCTACAGCCTTTGTGGAGAGTTGTAATGTCTTGAATAATAATTTATTTGAGTTGGTTGGTAGGAGAAAAGAAGTGGTCTGTTATAGTGAGAATCTATTTTTTTTTAATTTTGTATTTAGTTTTGTTCTGTTTCTGTATATAGAATAGGTTGGTCTTCAATCTGAAGAAGATGAACGCTGGTTTGCTGGCCAGTAAGTAGGACACCTGTTGCCAGTAAGGTTCATGATGGTTTTTTTTGACAGTAGGTGGATGGTCTATATATTTAAGTTTTATTTTTTTTTATTAGTGATTTAAACTGTTTTAAAACTGATGTTTAAACTTTTAATTGTATTAATTGTTATGGCATTTAAGAAATATTTTATAATTTGTAACTGTTTATGATGTTTGTTAGGATTTGTAAAATAAAAAAATGCATGAGTTAGAGTCTAGACAAAATGGATGGATTATTTGGTTATTAAATGTATGGTCTCCTTTGTAGAACTATTATGATGATCAAAATTTGATTTGTGAAAGACTCATAATTTTGCTGCTCTGAGTTATTTGGGTAAAATATTCTGGTATTTGTTTAGAAATTTCCAGTGTCTAATTATGGAAAGTGATTAGTGCTGATTAAATGAAAGTTGGAAAACTAGGTGTAACCCCAGTTTCTTTGTATAACAGTGATAAGTTAGTACTTTTTGTAACTGAGAAAACATGTTCCCATTCTGGTCTAAGATTGACTGATGAAGAAAAAGTTAATCTGAAGAGTGGGAGAAAAATTATAGTGACGTTACTACTGAAAATCTCTATGAGAAGAACAACTGAACAGTGGACAGTGCAGACTTCTCTGAAAGGGGACCACTGGAACATCTAGGAGCCCAGAGGGGTCTGTCCATAAGTCTCAGTAACAGGTCAATAAATCATGAACCTTTTTAGGGTGACATGTTGACATGCTGTTAAGTTGTAATCTGTGAATATAAAATTCAGGTTTTGAATAAACTATTAAGTTTAAAACTTACACCATTTTGTAATTTCACAAAATGGGAGACTATAGGTAGGGTCTGAGTACTTTTGCAAGTCACTGCATAGATATCTAAAGTGTACATTTAGTTATGACCTGATACATCTATATTGCTTAATTGGTTAACCACCTATAACAGCCATTTCTCCAGTCAAAAGAGAACAATTTTCTTCTTCGGGAAGCTCTGCCTGTGAACCTACAGTATCAGCTCTCTGTACGTTATAAAAAGTAGGAGCCTTATTTAAATTAAATTCCATCTTTTTTTACATCTGTCTGTATCATCTGCATTTTGACATGATATGTATTGTATCATGTACAACTGTACTGTTGTATTTCATCAGTGTATACTGATTCTTCCTTTCTTAAATGATTTTCTCAATGCATATGGTTTTCTACATTTAAAAATGAGTTTGTCCACCTTATCATTTTCAAGACAGTTTTAAATTACAAACATAAATAATTGTAATAAGCTGCAGGCTTACATAATACAATTTAGGCAATACACTATTTGCAATGGTATCTGAATGGCCTTTTGTTAATCTAAACTTGTAACCATTTTATAATTACTAATTATTCGAATAGATTAAGTAAAAAACTTACTGGTGCATTATTTGCTTTTGTTTTCTTTGCTTTCCTGTTGCTAGTGAAATAATGCAAGGTTCCATACTCCATCAGTGCAGCAAAGGTAAAGATGAAGCACACAGATACAAAGAGATCCATGGCTGTCACATATGATACTTTTGGCAAAGACTTCCTCGAAATTGTGCTAAGAGTAGTCATGGTCAACACTGTAGTAATACCTGCAAATGAGGAATGAGGATGAGGGAGTTACTGTATTTTCAGTGTTATCTGGTAATAGAAATCAAAGCTTGGAGTATTAATTAATTTAAGTGAAAAAAAGTCAGCATAACTAAAATAATGCCCCTTCCATAAACCTATTAAATACCACAATTAAATACAAAGTCTGAAGCCTTAAAGTATAATTTATCAATGCAACAATATCACTGATGAAGCAGCGCAGTAGTGACATAATGAGTATGGTTTAAGTTTATTTCAAAGTATTTTAATGTATTATCCCTACTTCACTGCAAATATGTATCTAAAAATAGACCATACCTAATGATGTCCTGGCTGGCACTGCATCTTTATTAATCCAGAATGACACCCATGAAAGCACAACAATCAGTATGCAAGGAATGTATGTTTGAATGGTAAAGTAGCCCATCCGACGACTCAGATCAAAAAATATTGTCATGATCACATATTCTCCTGAAAAACAAAATAAACATAGTTTTGAATCAGTATAAATAGCAACATCTTCTCTAATTTGTTTACAGAGATATGTGATAAATCCACTAACAAGATGGCTCCCTAAATTGTTCAACATTGCATCACAATCGTAAACATTTAATTTTCTGAATGACCTTTATATTTTTGCATTTTCAGAACCATACTTTTGACCAGATTTTTCTCAAAATCACATTGTCTTAACAAATCTTCAATTCATATTTATAGATTAGCCATGATATCTCCAATAATGGTAAAGCTCTACCTTCCTGAAAAGGAAAAAATCAACAACAATTGGGAATGACAAATAAGTTCATTTAGATAATCAGAAAATAAATGTATGATAAAAAAACAATTATGATGTTATATACATATGACTAGCATGCTTGTAATAAACCTTGTCTAAAGTAATTTCAAGAAGATTCTAATGGTCAAAGAAAGTATTTCAGAAAAATTGACTTTCTTGGCAAATGTGCACTGTTTGGAGGCTACTAGTTTAAATGAAATGTTATGACAAATATCCTTTGTCATTCATGCCTCTGGCCAATCCCTTAGGCTGCTTTAGCTCTTTTTAAATAAGTGTTTAATTCAAAGAGTGAAATGGCTGGAACAGACTGCATACTTATTTCCACAAGCCTCAAAATGAAACAGTAAAACATAAGCATAGCATTTTTAAAGGCTTCTTATACATCTATATGAAAAGAAAATCTCAACATCACATTTAAAATAGAAATCATTACAAAATCAAAACTGGTTACAAATGAGAAGAAACCATTTTTTCCCATCTAGCCTGTTTGGCTGTTAATACTTAATTAATCCACATTCTCATTCAGCCATTTCCTGAATAAAGACAAAGTCCCATACTGCAGGAAAACCTTGAGTAAAGAAGAGGCCCCAAATGCACTTTCATGTAGTTTCCACTTTTTGTTCCACTTTTCATTTTTAAATGGTCCACTGAATTTACTTCTGTTAACACCTTTGAGAATACTGAATACTTGCATCTGTCTTCTCTGCTCACTTAAAATGTTCACTTCTTTCAGCTTGTCAATGAAGTATTTATTGAATCCCAGAATACAAATGGTGTCTCTTCACTAAATTAAATATGGAGCAGAAATTGTAATGTGGCCATACTGGTGGATTATACAATCCTAGCATGACATACTGTACCTTGATTTGAATTCTACACTTCTGAATATATCTTGTGAGAGAGCAGCCCTGTCAGGACCACATTACCCAGAAACCTCTGGGGAAATGGACTGTAGCTTTCAGTAACCTGACCAGAACAGCAGGAAATTCTTGTTCACAATCTGCCATCTGTGGACACAGGGTAGATCCTCTACTATTCAAGCTGCACCAGTCAGACAGTGGACAAAAGTACACAACCTTCCACCTTCCTTATAAAAAAAATAATCATTCATAAATATTTTATGCATCATAGTTTTTAACTTGGTAACTTACATTGAGTTCTGGTTTTAACGTGCTTGTTCTAACATTATTATCTAAGCTTATATTCTGTACTTCATAAAAAGTTATAATGTTTTATCCTTTTCTAAGAATACGTAGTAATAATACCACTTGCTGTTATTGTAAAAGATAAATGGTGTAGTGATTTAACATCACTTGACAGTTATATGAATATGGAATCGTGTAACTAAGCAGCTAAAATATCACAGGTGGACATTTCGGAAACATTTTGACATCCATTTCTTTAAAAAAAAAAATTATTGTCCTTGTAGTGGTAATGGACAAAGCACTGCACACAATGATTCAAAGCACAATCAGAGTATTACTTTCGGTTTGTTTCTTATATAGTGAATAGATAAAAATAGCTACAGTGCCTTGCGAAAGTATTCGGCCCCCTTGAACGTTTCAACCTTTTGCCACATTTCAGGCTTCAAACATAAAGATATAAATTTTTTATTTTATGTGAAGAATCACCAACAAGTGGGACACAATTGTGAAGT